CTTTTATTGCTTGGCTGCCAAACAGAAGCAAGGAACCATCAGGGAGGTGGCAGGCAAGCAAAGAATTTATAGGACTGATTTGGGGGTGGAGCTTGCATGGGCAGTACAGGGTCTTAGCCGGAGCTGATTGGGGAGGTTTGGTGTACAAAAACCGAGAGAGGAAATTCACGGTCAATGGGGGTTGGGGATGGAAGTCAGTCTAGAAGCTCCAGGTTGTTGATTTCAGATCCCCATGCCATGCTGACTCCCCACCATGATGACCCTGCAAACTGTTGCCTGGGTGCAGACCTATCAATTAGTGTATTTTAACTGTATATATAGTATTATAAAGAGGATTTCTGAAAGTATTATCTTTTGACTGGGCATTGGTGAGAGCCACATCTTTTGTTTACAATTTTACATGCTTTATTTTTGGAAGAATTTCTCATGGTCTGGTTTTTAGCTGTGTATGTTCAAACATGTGTCTACCACTAGTTAATCTCTGGTGTCAGAACACATTCATATTGCATTTTAGGCTCTGTACTGCATAGCAGGTAGTGGAAGAGTTCCAGGAAATCATTCCTTGAATTAGCAATAACTTTACTATGAAAGACAGACTCTAAAGTAGTAAAGACAAATTTTAATCAGTAACAAACTAGTGCAATAGGCAAAATAATCCAGTGTCACCTGAAGTCAACTCTGAGTTGTCCAGAAGCAACTGGTTGTTTTAAAGGAATAAGGAAATAGGAAAGGAGTAACGGCTCAGTAGGATCAGAGAAGTGAAATATTATAAATATATGAAAATCCAAGAAAGGAGATGTGAGTTGGTTTGTGTGAAACCCATGAAGGTTGCTCATTAGTGTTTATCAAAGTTAGGTTCCTACAACCCACAAAGGCTGAGAAACATTATGTTCTTTACAACAATAGCAGCAGCAACAACAACAAAGGAAAAAACACCTAAGGACAACTGTGAGAAAATAATACTACTATAAAAAATACTTTTCTAACCACATGAAAACAACAGATTTTTCATGAAATTTAGAAATTAAAATTGAAATATAATAAGGTTTATGTTAAAAATTTTAGAAGGAAAAATTTAGGAATTCTTCCAAAGAAGGAAACAAACATACAGGTAAAAAATAAGAGGTAAATGACAGACTTTATATTTTTTCTAATAAAAGGGAAGATAAAGAAATGGTCATAGGCATAAAATAAAACTTTTTTTGTCATACCAGGGAACCTTCAAATGCCCTGCCCATTGAAGTGGTGTATCCTAAAATATAAGAAATTTTGGAATTCAGAGATCCTAAAAGTTTACAGAGAAAGGAACAGACACATGCAAATTTTTTCAAATCCAAATTTCTCAACAGTAGACAATACAGCCTTTCACAATTCTGATGAAAAATATTCAACCCTAGAATGTTGTGCTTACCCAAACCATCTGTTCGAGGCAAAATAAAAACAGAATAAATCAAGTAAGGTTTCAACATCATTTGCTTCCTGCGCACATTGTCATAGAAGCTACCAGAAAATATGTTTCATCAAAATTAAATGCATCAAAAAGAAAGAAAGAAAGAAATACTCCCTCTATAGGAGTCAAATATAGAGGGCAACCAAGTGAAATCAGATACTAGTAAAGAGAAGTGCTAGGATGACACCTATTCAAGAAATGTAGAAAGTAATTCATGGCCATCAGGGAAAAGAAGAGAGGACTTCAGTAAAGAGATCTTTTTACCTACACTTCCCCAAATGTAAACATGAGATACATTTTATCATACTGAAAGTAGTTAAGTGTTTCTAAGATACAAAATTGAGAATTATACAATAAAGAAACCAAGTTGTAAAGAAATAATTTCACTGTCACAGAGTACCTCATCAAGTTTGATTCAAACCTGAGACACCATAATGTCTTTATTTACAACATAATATACAAAGAATTATAGTCATAGAATGAGAGATTATGTTGTGAAAATACTTGCACATCTCTGCATACATGTTCACATTCTACTTTTCTTGAATACAGTGCTTTTGAAGGACTTTGGAATGTCCTGTGAGTGGGGAATCTGGGCCTTTCTAAATAATCAAAGTTACCAGAAAGCTTTATAGGATTAGTAGTATGTTTTGGAACCAGACCCAATTTGTCATTTTCCATTGTCACTTACTTCAAGACTGAGCTACAAGCTGTGAGTCAGATCAGTAGCCTGATTTCAGCTTTTGCCAGGTGACAAAGCAAACTGATCTGAACAGTGAAAAGGTAGAATCTGAACCAAAATGTTTTTTACCTTTGGAGATCAAAAAAGACAAAAATTTTGGGTCAGGATGTAGCTCATTGGCACAGCACCTGCTTAGTAAGGGCAAGGTCCCAAGTTTGAGTCCCAGTACAACAACAACAGCAACAACAACAAAAAAAAGACAAAATTTAGACAACTGAGAGTTCATTCTATTTAGTTCACAAATTTTTATCTTATCTACTTAAATGAAAAGTTTTCTAAAATAAATTGAGCCTCTCAAGAAGAGTAGAGAAAACTATCTTAAACTTTTATTTTTCTTCTAGTTAGTATTCGTCTTCTTAAGGAATCTCATGTTAATTTTAGAGCTTTTTAAAAAATATTTCTCTGTATGACTATTGCTCAACTATATATACTGATGTCTCAAGCATGCTCATGTTTGACTTATTTTTATAGATATTTATGATAAGACTTGCACGTGGAGTGAAGAAATCTGACCTCTTTGTGTAGGCAGGGAAGAAACCAGCTGTGAAGCTGGCAGAAGAATCACTAATAGCAGAGAGGCAGATAAAGGAATGCTTGCTTAATTGGGTAACTGATCTTTCCAGACTTGCTGGTCATATTCCAAGTATTAATGGATTGGGAAATTTTTTTTAAAAAGTGTATCTCATGACCCCTTAGTAACTCCAGACATTCTACACATGGTAGCACACAAGTACCTAAGACACTTAGCTTTTTTTGTCTTAGTTTTATCTTCAACAGAAATAGCAGAGAAGGGATTACAATACCTGACTTTAAAAATCATTAGTAAGGATGAAGTAGAATTAAAAAAAGTGCAATACTTAATGGTATGATCATGTCATTTTCCCTTCCCTTATATAGCAGATAACTCTAAATGCTAGCCCTTGACTGTGTTAGCTTTCCTTTGCTATGACAATATGTAGGATAATCAATAGAAAGGAGGAAAGATTTATTTTGGCTCCCAGTTTCAGGGAATTCAGTTCATGGTCACTTGGCTCTACTGGCTTAGTGCCTGTGGAAAGGTAGAGCATCATTCATGTACAGGAGTGTGTTGGGGAGTAGACCACACACCTCTCGGAGGCTGGGAAGTGAACCAGAGCAAGAGAAAAGGCCATAGTCCCAAAACACCCTTCAGTGCTATGCTCCCAGGGCCCCAACTCTGTCCAACAAGGACCAACCTGAAATATGCTTTACCAATTTCTAGGTGTCTCTCAATCCAGACAACTCAACAACCTAGGTTAAGCATCACATGTACTCCCTGTGTAGTGCTTCTTTCCCTTCCCCTTATATATAAACTTTTCACTTTAAAAAGAGAAATGTATAATATATCATTTGTAATCTTAAACATATGTTTTTCCGTTGCTTATATGAGCTGACATACTTGGATTTTTGCAGAGAAAATGAAAATACTATCTGCCACTTGATAACTTTAGAAATTCAGAAAGAAAAAAAAGTAATCAATGCTAAACTCCTTGATCTCAGCCGACTTAGTGAGCTTCTTCCATTCTATGATCTTTGCTCTTTCCCCATAGAGGAATGGCTAACTTCTCCTCAGGAATGTTGGCCTCCTAAAGAGCTACAGTCCTCCTAAAGACTTAACAGTCATTTAGTTGCAATCACCTTCCCGTTTACATATTACCTCTGCACCAAAGTAAATTTAAATTTCAAATCTGAAAAAGAAAAGCAAATCTTTTATTAACATATTTTACTTTGTAAAGTTTTTATCAGGTACATTTATTTTTGTCTATATTAGACCTCAGACCATTAAAGACATTATCACATATTACAGTGACACATGTATACTTGTGTTTATAGCAGCACAATTCACAGTAGCTAAATATAGGAAGCAGCCTACATGTCCACCAACAGATGACTGGATAAAGAGAGTATGGCATGTATATACAGTGAAGTACTGGTTAGCTATAAAGAAGGATAAACTTGAGTCATTTTGTAGGAAAATGAATGCACTTTGAGATAGTAATGTTCAGTGAAATAAATCAGGCACACAAGCTTAAATATCCATGAGTTCTTTTATATGAGAAACTCAAAATATAAAAGAGCAAAATAAAAGATTGATGATAGGAAGCAGGGAGATGGGGCTTTTTCAAATGAGAAGGAAACCACAAGATGGTAGGAGTAAGGAGGGAGAACAGGGAAACAAGTAAAAAGAATTAAAATACATACACATACCAGCTCCTCATGATGAACATGATTGTGTATTTCAAACATGTACTAATAAATTTTAATTGTAAAAAAAAAAGGACTGCATTGAGATTTTGGTAAATTTTGCCCTGATTATTTTATGTCTTATTTAATAAATGACAATGGAACTTTTAGTACACTTTACAACAAGTTGTGGTGAATTAGTATCTAAATCTTTTGTCTACCTAGTCTCAAATTCCAGCTCCCCCAGGCTCTTCTGTTTTACTTTACAAAGGTGAAAACATTATCAGAGTGAGTCATCAGAAGTTTTAAGAAGGAGATGTGTTATATTTCATCTTGTTTTGTTGCTTTACTGCAATATAAAAATGTCAAAATATATAGATATCAAATAAAATACATGTCTTATCTTATATATTTATAAATGTCATGTATATATATTCTTTATATATGTGCATATCATAATTGCAAATGTCCCCTATTGTTCCAGTTATTAATATGCTGATAAAAATACATTCTTGAACTGGCTTCTTTTTGTCATCTTTTAGGAAAAATTATTCTTTTATTTAACAAAGCAATCTAAATTCTATATTTTAAAAAATTTCTATCTAGAAATCGACATTGAACGCTGTGTACGAGAATCAATCAACCTCTTTTGTTGGACTCCTAAAAGTGCTACTTACAGACAACACGCCCAGCCTCCAAAGCCGGCTTCGGACAGCAGCGGACTCAGAAGCTCAGCACCTTATTTCTCCACAGAGTGTGCAGAGCCTCCAAAGACAGATCTGGTATGTACCCTGAGCAAATGTGGTTCACACACTCTAAAAAGGATTGTTGTTAAAATGAATGCACACTGGAATCCTGAGTACCCTTAGTAATATTCATTTGTGTCCTTGTAATGTCACTGTTTTCTAACATACATTAGTCATACAGATACTTCAGAAAACCTCTATATCTATTTGAACATTACGGTTAAGGGCATTGTTTTGATATATTTCTCCATATAAAAACTTGTTTTCTGTACAATCATAGTTTCTGTTTGAACATTATCTTGTTATATAAAAGAATGTGGAAGTAAAAGAAAATTTTTTTAAAATAAAGAAATGCTGAGTTACTGGTAGAATTGAACAGTTTCTTGGTTGACAAGCCCATGGAGTAGATTCTTTACTTCAGTTATTGAACTTTTGAACACTGGCTTTTATACTTGGTTCTTTTTAAGATAATTTAAATTGCTTGAAAGTTATTCTGTACTTATTTAGATGTCTTTCTTCTCTCAACTTACTGCACTTTTATTTAGTTCTTTGGTTTCCTTTAGTTCTTTAAAACTGCTGACTTAAAAATTTTGCTTACTAACTCCAACCTTCAATTTTTTGTTAAAAATTGAACCTTTTAAATAATACAGCAACTTTAGAAATGAGATCATAGACTTCTGCCCAGGGTTTTTATTACAGCTTGGTAGGGTGGTGGTTTTGTTGATAACACTGTTCGTTTAGTAAATATGCTAAATTCCACATAGTCTGTATCCTTACCCAGTGTGACAATCTGTGGCTTCATGCTCAGAGAGTGAGCAAACAAATTTCCATAACATATCTGTGTAGGGCTCTAGGTTTTGCTGAGAGGCTGTAAACACTCATTGGCGCACTTCCCCACTCAGTCAACAGCCTTCGCGGAAGCTTTATTTTCTGCTTACTTAGAGCCTCTGATCAAACAGAGAGGAGATCTTGAAGCCTCTTTGTCTGCCTCGGCATGCTCACAGTCATGCATGTGTGGCCATGTGTGGCTAGTCTTCTGGATTCCGGCGACATGTCAGAGAACCCCCCGTGAACATCACATTCCCCAGCTTTTCTTGTTAATTTCATGAATAGCTTCTTCACCCATTGTGTCTGCTTCAGGAATCTGCAGTGTTAAACAATTACTGCTGATTGTTTTTGCCAAATATCTTCAAGAAAAAAGGTGTTTGCATTGAGAAAGTACTGAAGCAGGCCAGATGAGGACAAGATCTGTCAGAGCAGGTTTCCAAGGAGCTGGCAAAAAGACAAATAATGGCACTTTCCTTAAAGTAGTGCTTTTCAGGCATTCCCAAACAATTCTGCCCCTTCCAGTGGGTGCTATGCTGCTGGATTTTGTAATGATTGCTGAACTGGTGGTCTTCAAGATGCAGCTGAGGGGGGAAATGAAAATAGGACAAATTCACATTTCTATTTAGTCTCAACTTTTTTTCTTGAATTTGTACTGTTGTTATTGCAGGCTTTTGTTGAAGTTCCGAAGTTTTAAAAACATTTATTTGAATAATCTTCATTGTCTTAGCTGTTTTATGATTACCTAACACAACTTAAAGGAGAAAAGATTTAGTCTGACTCACAGTTTATAGCGGTTTTTAGTCTGTAGTTGGCTGGCTCCAAGGCAGGGTGGCAAGGCACAGGGGCCTGGTAGAAGAGAGCTGTTCATGGCAGGGCAGTGGAAGCAGAGAGAGATCAAAGGAGGAGGAGGGAGACAGACCCTGCCAAGCCACACCCCAGCAGCCACCTCTTCACACCAAGCTCCACCTCCCAGTGTCACATTTAGCTATGAACTCAGCAGTGGACAAATTCAGTATAGCATGTCTCCATGGCCCAGTCACCTCTGCAAAGCCTGACCTATTAGCATATGAGGCTTTCAGGGGCAACCAGATATAAACCATGACACTTGCCAGTGTTCACACTGGTGTTTTGGAGGGGCAGCTTTTGAGAAGGGCTTCTTCTGCTATTCTTGTTCCTGCCACTCACTGTCTTTGCTTTGTCTGCTGATCTTGACATTTACATGAAGCAAAAAAGTTTGAGAGATAGTGGATTTGAAAAGGTCAGAAACATATGAGAACTGTTTGAGTAATGTCAGACTTTCATTTTGCTGTAAAATAAATTTTAGTAAGAAAAGTTTCTGTTGTAAGTTTGAATGAGTGGCTTTAAATCTTGTTCTCTTATATTGTAGTCTGAAATAATGTTTTTATTTGAAATCCTTAATAGTTTCAATGTCATTAAATCCACAAGCCCCTCATATATTCCTACTATAGTAAGTCTTAAAATTCTAGGTTATTTTGCTTATCTTTTTGATATGAAACAAATTATTTTGTCTACGTTCAGTTCATGTATCTTCATCAACTTAACAGCATTAAGAGTGGAAAAAAGGACTTGCGAGATAGCTCAGTGGACTAAGTGCCTATGTAGGCAAGCATAGGGACTGGGATACCACTTGCCATGCAGGCCCTACCCCCAGGCACACTGAGCCGGCCACCGAGTCGGGGCATGGTGGAGCACAAATGTAATCCCTGCACTGGGGAGGCTAAAAACAGGATAATCACTGTGAGTCTGAGCTGCCTAGTGAGTCACTGTACCAAATACACAATTTTTTTTTTTTTGAAAAAAGTACAAATGAGACTTATTTGCATGAAATGGTGCTATCTGAAGCATGTTCAAGTCTTAGTTTACGTTAGAATTTAGTTTATTCCGGGCTGGCCTAAAACACCCTGCTTAGGCAGAGCACAGCAGCCAGGATTCGATCCCCTGTGTGCCATGCTGGGACCAGTTGAGACTGGGCATGGTGGAATGCACCTGTAATCCCAGCACTTGGGAAGCTGAGGACAGGAGAATCACTACAACTCCAATCTACATAGTGAGACTATAGACCCTGTAGACCCTGTCCTAAATACAGAAAAAAAAAAATTAGTTTATTCCTTTTAGTAAAATACTCCAACCATAAAGGAAAATATAGTGAATAACATAAAAGGCAATACATAATTTTTGCACATATTTAAACATACATAGAAAACATACTGTTCAAGGTGCTCAGGAGGTAGCCCAAAAAAAAAAATGTGTCATCATAGCATGTGCATTTAGTAGAGGTTGTATTTACAAAATAAAACGTACATTTAGTGTGCTGTTGGAAATAGGTGTCAGTAAGCAACATTATGAAGACTTGAGCTAGAGGATGCCAACAAATGGGAGTTATCAAAGAGTAGAAAAGGGTTATTTTGTATGAGGAGCTTAAAGATCAGCTATAAGGTTACATTTGAGAAAACAAAAGCTAAAGGGAGTAAGAAA